CTCTCTCTTAATCTTACAGAACAATCTTAAATACAAAGAACTTACAGATATTGTTACACTTTCAGTTGAACGTAATATTGAAATATCTTGTGTGGAACTTGAAGAAATGATCATAATATGTGTATATCGGCCCCCATTTGGGAATTGCACTTAATTTGAGTCTGCTATGGAATATTGTATGTAGATGTAATAAAGTAGTTGTTGTGTGTGGTGATTTTAATATAAACATTTTAGTTAAGTGTCCATTAGTGAGTATGTTTCTAAACTTATTTAAATCATATAACTTAGAGCATACCTACTTTGAGCCTACCCGCATCACACATGTATCAGCGACCTGTTTAGATAATATTTTTTGTAATATAAATGTTTTTAATAAATCAATAATAAATTGTATTAATTCTGATCATAGCGGACAATTAGCCTCTATTGAACACCATCATGCTTCACCCAAACATGACCTAACTTGTAGACAAATTACACAAATGGGTATAAATAAAGATAATTTTTAAAGATAGCGTTTATCACAAAATATCGTACTTACCAGTTTGCAATAATAATAATATTCTGTGTGAAGATTTATTCAATTTAATTAAAGATGAATTTAATAAAATATTTAAACGCGATCTTATTTAATGCCATAGCTCTAAAAAGAAATTTAGTGTTTGCGTCACACCTGGTATTTACGAATTATTGGGGAATATCAACTTAAATAATATGACCGAATATCACTGTCATTGCGCCTCAACTGGCTTTTATATTTAACAAATGTATTGATGAGGGATGAGGGTGTTTCCAGATTTAATGAAAAATGCTTTGGTTATCCCTCTGTTTAAGGCTGGTGACAAATCAGATCGCAGCAATTTTAGGCCTATATCTATATTACCAGCGCAAAGAAAAGTATTTAAAAAAATAATTACTAGCACACTTTTTTTTATAAATAAGCTATTTCATTTAAAACAGTTTGGTTTCACTAGAGGCAAAAGTACTACTGATGCTGCACTTCTCAAACACATTTTTGATGTATGGGAGAGTAAGGACGATGCAATTGGCATTTTTTGCGACTTATCAAAGGCGGTTGACTGCGTTAGCCATGAAACATTGTTAACCCTTAACAACCCACAAGTGTCTTGCGGACACAATTTTGCGTTTATGTTTTCATAAAAATCAAAGTATTTATTTTTATGTATCTGCCTTTTATCTAATTTATCGCCAATGTTTTACGAATCTAAATGTGCAATGAAAATATTTGTAACATGATTAATTCATTATTTTTGGTTATTAAAAGAAAATAGTATTTCATCAATCCACAAGTGTCCAACAGACACAATGACATTTTGTTTGATTCGAGTGTGAAGGTAGATTGTTTTTATTTACATTTACTTATAATTTTATGGTGTCGGGTGGGCAATAGCGACTGCTAGACCTTTGTTTGTGTTATAATCGTATCACGTATCAGTGATCAGAAACTTTTGTCATAATGTAGTCGAACTAACGCAAAGTGAAATTCAACGTGCCCTTGTCGAAAGTGATGATAAAAACATTTTGGTGCGAGAGCGCGATAGTGATGATGAGAATTTTGCTGTTGACAGCTGTTCTGATAGTAAAAGTAATATGACAGAACCAGCATCTGAAAACGATGATGATCAAAATGCACAAGCTTGTACGTTTTCGAGGACGCGTATCATTCAAACAGTAGGGTAGCAAACCCGATAAGTATGGTATGAAAATTTGGTGGATCTGTGATAGCAAAACTAGTTAGCCCCTATTCTGTATACCATATCTCGGAAAAGAAGGACAAAACAGGGCAGAAAATTTTACGTACAATGTAGTAAACTAATTATGTGAACCATACTTCCGAAGTAACAGAAATGTTACTTTTGATAATTATTTCACGAGTATTGATAGCAAAATCTTCGGCACAAAATGGTCTTACAATGGTTGGAACGTTGACGAAAGACAATACGTGTATACCTCCAAATTTTGAACCCAAGAAAACCCGCGATATTGAGTCTAATGTATTTGGATTTTATAAAAATAAGACACTGGTCTCTTATGTACCAAAAAAGAATCGTTTTGTAATTTTATTGTCGACGATGCATCATGGAAAGGAAGTAGATGTGAACAAAAAGAACCAAACTGAAATAAACTTGTACTGTAACTCCACCAAGGGAGGTGTCGATACACTGGACCAGATGGTTCATGAGTATACTGTTCGGCGTAAAACAAATAGGTGGCCAATTGCATTTGTTCAAAATATTGTAGATGTTATTGTCATTGCATCGTTTACTATATGGAAAAATATACACCCTGATTGGAACTCACGTAAAAAAAAATACACTTAGAAAACTATTTTTACGTAAAATCGCAACCGAGTTGGTATCACCTCATATACGGAGACGAAGCACGAAAGAACTATCAAGGTACCACTTAGCAGTCATGCAAGACGTGGCAGGGTCAAATGAGGAAGTTACTCAATCATCTGAACCTGCTGCGAAAAGGAAGAAGCGTTGTTTTATTTGCGTTTCAAAATTATCAAGGGCTTTTAAATAGTGTTGTGGTAAATGAAATCGTAATGTCTGCATCGAACATTCTGAAAAATAAATTATTTGTAATATCTGTAAGTAAATAAGTGTAAAAACATTACCAAAATACATTATACTGTCTTTTTTATTTAAAATAACTTTATATTCATTCATCATACCTTACTTTTATAAAATAAGTCTGTTGGACACTACTGGTCAGTTACGTCACAAAAGCATTCTGGATAGTTAAGGGAAGGGAAGGGAAGGTTAATAAAATGAAGCATTTTGGTGTATCAAACATTTCACTAAGTCTGATACAGTCTTATCTTTCTGCTAGGATTCAGAAAGTAGTTATAAATGAAGCTGAGTCTATGGGCATTAGTCATTTTTCATAACAGTAATATTGTACCTATCTCATGCCGTTTCCTATATACTAAATGTATTATAATGTTAACTATAAAATTTATTGTAACTATATATTTATATTCTACATTATGTAATGGGAGGTGACTTCAGACGTATCTCTGAAGTGATTTTTCAACTTGACGACTCTGTATATAACAATACAAGGAGAAAAAAAGCCCTTGCTGAGTTTCTTGCCGGTTCTTCTCAGTACAAGATCTCTCACCGTAGTTTTGCGAACCGATGGCGTAGCTTCTTGACCTTCACAAGTTTTCATTTTATTTCATTAAGACTAAACTAAAATTTTGATAAATTAGTACGACAATCCTAAATCCATTGACATAACTGTATATATTATGTAATGTAACGTCAACATGGTCTCTAAGAGGCGGTAAAATCTGTCACTAACTAAAATTTCTTCTGAAAATAACAAGTTTGTTTCCAGGGATACGTAAATTTATGCGAGAGTTTACCTTAATGTTTTGCAATTGTTGTAAGAAAAATATTTAAACAAAAAATAAAACCGTCTTAAAAATCGAAAATGGAGCTAAAAAGAAAAAGGGTAAAGATTGAAAGATGTATTTTTACCGATCAGAAACGAAAATCTATTTAATATTTCAATCTTGGCCCCGCCCGACCTTGAACCAGATATTATTTTTTACATTTTTTGTTTTTTTTTATTTCATCCATTTTAGTGAAAATTACATCGTTCAAGTGAACAATAACATAATTGACGGAGAAATCGGTAAACGTGCATAAAAAAACATCGTGCGCGCCTTTTTGAAATTTGAAGGTTTCCCTCGATTTCCCCGGATTCCACTGTCAGATCCTGGCTTGATTCCAATGGGACCACCTCAGAAGTGCACTCTTTTGAATAAAAAGAGAATTTTGGAAATCGGTCCACAATTGACAGTGAACAATCATAAAAAAAATAATATACGGACCAACATAGAACCTCCTCCTTTTTTGAAGTCGGTTAAAAATAAGCTTATCGTGGGTCAGTAATCAAATTGGCTGATAGTACATTACAAGCGTCGTTCTTCTAAAGAGCACGTAACTGAATACAGGGTTTACTAAGAGTAGCTTACAATCACTTGGAATTACATCAGCAATGCAATATCATCAAAAATCATCATAAATCAGTTTGCTATAATTTAATTTATGCTGATAACTCGAACTGAACAATAAATAATCTAAAACGCAATAATATTACACGTGGTTAATATCGCAGAAAATATAACTTCGAGGAAAATTGTGAGAACATGTTATTTTCCTAACGACTCTAAAGTGATAAATACTATAATTATTATTGTATTATTTCCCTACGAATTCCGTAACTTTGTTAGGAGAGTAGGTACTGAAGTTACACAATGATCTAAGTAATATTTAACGTTTTAAAGGTTGTATAATATTTACGTTCACAACATTAGCATCATAGAAACTGATATACAGGCGGAGCTGATGCAATTGATGGATATTTGAAGAAGTTTAAATTAACAAAACGCTTTTTATATTGACTAATAGTAAACGTAGTACCTATATGTTGGTACACAAGAAGATCTTCCATAAATGGCACGATCATTTTCAAAAAGTTCAAGTTACTAACTTACCTATAATTAACTAATTAACCATAAACTTTAACTTCTTAAAAGGGTGACAGAAATTTTAATAGGCTTTTTTGTGTTCTTTCCGTATTTAAAATTATTGCGATTTCTTCCTCTTTTTGTTTCTATTCCCTCGTAATTTTCCCTTTTTTTAATTTCACCAAAAATTAAATATCTATTGTGCGAACATTTAATAGGTAGTTTATTTTTTTTTCAGTTCTACGTTCTACTTTATTATGTCGTCGGTTATATTAGATTACAGCACCATATACTCAAGCACCCTGTATATAGTTAGCTGTGACAATACGTAGTTGATACTAACATTATGATCACTTAGCAGTTTCTATATAACAAACGATTACACTTAAGAATCTTCACTTGGTTTTCAGTTATAGTGATATGCTGTGTGGTTCTTATTTATTATAATTTCAAATGACGTTTGTGTTAATTTTTAGTATAAGACACCAGTAAAATGGCGAAACTTCTGCTATTTATAGTAGTATTAGGTAAGTTGACATTAATTTTTCTATTTTCCCACACATTTCATTTTCATCTTACTTTGTAATTGAAGCTAATAAAAATAAATGATTGATTTCTCGATTGGCCTGTAAAAAGTTGACTAGACTTTTCATTGACAGATTTGCCTACTATTTGAGAATACTATTAAAGGCAATATCTACGTTCTTCGATTTTACAGGCAACGAACGTACAGTGAGTTAAATATCAGATTATGATGTTTAAATGAAAACTCCATTACATTGTGACATTATAAACGATTTTCGTAGCATATTCGTATTAAAAATATGCTTCTTTATACCTTGTTTATAAACACTAATTATACTAATTTTCAATTCTTTTAACAATTTTTAGTCTATACCAGCAAATCTCTTGGAAAAACTATTTCAAACAATAGTCTGCATTCACTGCTGCCACCGAAGTAAGTTGATTTTATTTATTTACAAATGCTAATAAAGGGTCCAAATGATTGTTATTATAGTATTGATATTCAATTAGATCTGGCTAATCTAATATGGTTTAGGAAAGATATTCCATCGTATCCGTCTTTAGATGGAGGTTTTGTGTAATCTAAGTTAGCTTTTGCAAATTTTCATTTCTTAATGCAACATTTAGCAGCGCTTCATTTGCCATCGTCAATTTCTTTAAAAATAAATAGAGCACAATCATAATTCACTTTACTTTTAAAATATATGCATATATGCATACCGCATAATCGCTTTGTGAATCTTCTGTATATATGTATTAAAGGCAACCGTTATACAACGCACAGCTCAAACCACTGAACGTATTGCGCTGAAATTTGGCACACATATGGTTATTATGATGTAGGCGTCCGCTAAGATAGGATTTTTCAAAACTCAACCCCTAAAGGGATAAAGCAGGGGTTTAAAGTTCGAACGGAGCACTATAAGATCGCGAGGTTAATCCTTTAACTAAATAAGCAATTTTGAAGAGTTTTATTTACTGAGATTGACATTCATTCGCTCAAAATCAAATTTAACGCGAGCGAAGCCGCGTACAAAAATAAGGTAGGGATAAATACTAAACTAACTTAACACCGAGTGATTGAGTAGGTGATAACTGGTCTAATTTAGCCTTACTACAAAATATGTACCTACAGCCGCTTTTATCTTTACCTAGATGAAAATGCATGCACATTTACTTAACTTCTATTTTTTAAGGGACTTTTGTTGTACCAAATCGTAACCTGACCATACAATTTTCTTAAAATCACTTCATTTATTGTATATAATATTTGCTGCCATATTGCAAAGCACATCAGCCTCTTCCGATAGGGGGTTGACTAGGATTCTTTGCAATATGTCTCAAACCTATTAATTTTAAGGATGGAGAACGCATATCTCGAATCCTTTCCGCTTCATTTTTGATGCATTCTATTAATATGTTTTGCACATCTTCTACTTTTTCACATACTTCACAATTAGGGGAATTGATTTTCTTTAGAAGAAATAAGAATTTATTTAGTGGAATGTGTCCAGAACGAAGTCGGTACATAATCATAATCATCATAATATTATACGACCTATGTTACCATTATTAAACTTAACTTCTAGTAAATACGATGTATCATCAGCATCAGTCTGTTAATGTCCCCATTGCTGGGGCACAGGCACAGACCTTCCATAATCCCTATTGATTGAATAGGGAGAAGATTGTGACATGCATGAACCACCACGCGGGACTACCAGTGCCGATTGGTGGATGCTGCCTACTACATATACAGGCAGTACCAACCTTAGATTAAAACAAAAAGGTTAGATACGGTACGTTCATACTTGCATCAAACAAAAACTGATCCCACGGCAGCGCGAACGGGATGGCGAGATCCGCGTCACTGCATTACCGACCCGAGCGAAACAGCACGTTAAGTTTCAACGGCAGCGCGAACGAGACGGCGACATCCGCGTCACTGCACTACCGACCAGTAATCGACGTCACTACCGAATAAGATTCAAAACAAACAGCAATTTTTATGAAAAATGATATTTTATAGTACTTACGAATGAAAAGTGATGCCGTGGGTTTTATTTTTAGTTCTTGAGCAATTTGAGCACTTTTAAAAAACATACTTAAGCATTGTTTTATCATATAAACACAAAATATTATCAATATTTCTTTTTGGCGTTCACATGTTTTTTGCATGTCAAGCGTTTTGCATGTCAAGTTGTGACTAAAGCAATTAGGGTCGTGAACCACAATTTGTGCGGATCACTTTTGTGAGGCTAGTGCCGTATCTACCCTTTTTGTTTTAATCTAAGGTACCAACGTCTTAACGTGCCTTCCGAGCTCGAGATAATCATTTTATTTAAATATATCCCGAATATGAGATAGACCCCACAACAAAAATGCATGAAATTGAATGACAGTCCAATAATATGTATTATTAACGTTTACCTTTTTGTGATTCAAAAGTGTCTGGTTGCCAAATAATAATAATAATTACACAAGAATCCGTTTGTAAGATTTGATTATCAAAACATTCAAAATTGTCAAATAAAAGGTTGCGCTCGCTTGCTTGTCAAATGAAAATAAAATTAATAAGTGATTATCATGAACTAGAAAGGAAAACTGGGTTTTTTATGTTGGTCACATCGTGATATTTGGTAAATATTTTTTTTGAAAGGCATCATAACATGATTTTCGTCCTTGACAGTTTAATTTGCATTTCCAGGGTTCCGTACCCAAAACGTTAAAACGGAAGTCTATTGCTGTCACTCCGTCGTCTGTTAGTTTGTCTGTCTATCCGCATTGCACTCTGATCTCTAGATCGTTAACGGAATGAGTTACAGAACGGTATTTTTGGTATTTTATGTAGTATGCTTGCCCAATAGGCGATTTTTTTTCTGTTTTTACCCTAGCATGTGGCACATCATTGTCTAGAGCTCATTGAGTAGGATATAAATATAATAATTAATATTTGATATTTTCAACAACAAAGAAACATCATATTTGTCATTTTAGACCATTTTTGTTGCGGGGGTCTATCTCTAAATTGAATGTGTTAAGAATGTGAAAGTTTTGAATATCACGTCCCATATATTTTGTCTTTACTCTTTTCATTAACTATAACTTTCAAAATGTTTTTTTATGTTGTTTTGTGATGTAATGTGGTCAATAAAATGTTTCTCTCTCTCTCTCTCTCTCTTATTGTATTTAAACAAAAAATGTGGAAAAATCCGATTCATAATATACTTGGTAAGTTGTGACATAAACAAGAGAATGATTTTATGGAACCCTTATAGAGCGAGGCTAGACTCGCGCTTGGCCAGTATTTTTTGTTGTTATTTTCCTTTGACATTGACGTAACTTGAGGTTTCATTTCTTGGACGTACATTAATGTAAAACATACTTCTCAAACGCCCTTATGAACGAGGAATAAGCTTCGACTAATTACGTCGTGTTTTGTTCATATCACTCAACTGCTATTTGTTATTCAATGAACAGTGGGGACATTAATAGGCTGATGATGATGCCAGCAGTGGGGATGGAATAGGGAGATTGGGTCATGACCCGCCACGCGGCCCCAGTGCGGATTGGCGGGTGCTAAAGACATTTATTAATAAGGGGGAAAGAGTTTTAAGTAATAATAGTTTAATGTATTTAATACTCCTTTAATCAACTACTTACCATATTCATGTTAACTATGTGTGTTATCGTATTTTATTTAATAATACTAAGAATTGTCTTCAGCTACTCACAGTTTGAAGCCTAAAGAAGTTTTCGCTACAAAAATTTAAAATTTATATGCCTGTTAGGTTCAAATCTTTCGAAGTAGCGTTTTTTCCATTAGACCAAGTCACTACTAACGACATTGGGCAAAGTTAAGATATGTACATTGAAGTATGATTTTGTTCCACTATGTTATTAACAGGCACGTTAAGCCGTTGGTCCCAGGTGCATCTGCAATCGTTAGCCCACTAATCCGCACTGGGCCTGTGTGTTGGGTCATGACCCAATCTTCCTATTCCACCCATAGGGGATGTTAATAGGCTGATGATGATGATGATGTTATTAATAACTGAAGAAAATACATGATTTCTCCTCATAACTGAGATACCTACATATTTTTCAATGATGCCGTGTTCTGTTCTTCCCTTAGTTATGAATCCGATGAAGAAGAATGTATATGGCAGTGTGCGAAAACAAGCCAGTTTGATCCAGTGTGTGGTAGCAATGGGGTGACGTATTGGAACATCGGTCATCTCTATTGCTCGCAAAGCTGTGGTGTAGGTAAGAAAGAGAAAAGCTAATAAATAAATTTGGCACTAAAATTTATACATTAAACCCTTACCGTCTAGCAGACATTTAACATTTAAGCTCTGCTGGTTGAGTCAATTAAACGTCATTTATATACATGGTTTCATGAGTGATAGTCAAGATCAGGGCGTAAGCTTTTAGCGGCCTTCTTAGCCAATTATAATGAATTAACTCAAACTATTTAATAACTTCATTACATACACAAAAAGTAAGTCGTTGCGGCAACTGGAAGATTACAAAAGTAAAAACTTACCTTTTTTCAGAAAATCGAAACTTCGCTTAATTTAAATAATGGGTTGCCTGGTTCAATATTTATTATTTTATTCAAATGTGCCAAGCATGTTATGGAATATTATGCTTGGATTCCCTAAACTTGGAATAGACTCCAATGACAAACAAACACCATGCCTGTCATACTCTTTCTGCCAAATAAATGTTTCACATTCATCATCATCATCAGCCTATTAATGTCCCCACTGTTGGGGCACAGGCCTTCCCTATGGATGGAATAGGGAGATTGAAGTTCACATTCATATAAGTATGAAATGCATGAATTTTGCAATATTTTATGCATACTTTTCTACCGTTTTAGATGTTTACCCGCTGCATCCACCGCCGTGTTCGCCGATAGTCACGTCAACAACGTAAGTAAATCATTCATGGTAACATAAAATAACTTCACAAATCAAGATCATTATCCGTGAATATAAATAAATATAGCCTATATTGATGTTGGCAGTAAATTGTTTAATGGAGATACAAGCAAATAGTCCATTTATCACTGGCCTGCTTAGATTAAAGCAAAACCCGCTTTGTTTTAATCTAAGGTCTGCCGTATTGTAATATTATTTTGTTGATTCAAAATAATATTATATTAGTTAATTATAGTTGATACGAGATAATGCTGATGCATTATCTACTTTGCTTGCACTATTAATCAACAGGTACTTTTTATTTTTTTCCTTTTTTTTGATTACTTATCTGTCATCTTAATTTTTAAACACAAATCTCCTTTAAATATAAATATCAATTATTATTTCAACTTATTTCCCTTGGTCCAGCTATAACTTGAGAATGACTTTTTCAACCATTTTTTTTGTTTTATAATAGTTTGTACAAGGTTCTCAGGAAAAAGAAAGTTGCCCAGGAAACTTAAGAAATTTTAACTTACTCCGGGCGTCGGGTTTTAGGACGTTTTTAACAATCTGTTTAGAAAATGTCTGTCGAATCCACTAATATATCATAGACATACCGAAAGATAGTAATCATTTACTTATCAAATGTTGAAACAATCGAAGCTCGACAGTATTTTTCAGTAGGTACGCAACTTGTTCGATCGTATTCACAGAACACCTCTTTCTATGTTCTGTGGGCGTATTATTATATTGTGGTTTGCCACCAAATGCGTTACTTCTTGTTTAAGGGAGACCAATAGTCTAGTGGACGCTGAGGAATGCATACGGTCATGTCCCAGAACCAAGGAGTACAATCCCGTGTGTGGCAGTAACCGTGTGCAGTACGAAAACATTGGACACCTCACTTGTGCCCAACTCTGCGGCGTCGGTTAGTTATCTATATTAGCGATGACAACAAACTTTTTTTCGCCGTCTATCAGGCAGATTTTAACCTTAGTAGTAACCAGTAATAATACCACTAATAATAACCTGCATCTTACAGAAGACCGCAGTAAAATAACCACCTTTTGGTGGTGTAGTATTTCTCTTGTTGAGCAAGGTTCAGGGCTCCACGGGGTACGGAGTTGGGTCAGGTTGTACGGTGCAAGTGATAATTTTGGTATCGCAAGTGTTTATAGGCTTTAGTGGCTGCTGACTATAAGGAGGGCCGCTTGTTTGCCACATTTTTTAAAAGATGTCAAAAAATATTGGACACCTACTTTATTTTGTCACACAATCATAACGGTTAGAGATATATTTACTTGAAATGTCGCATAACATCACATCTTAGTACAATTTTAACTTAAAAATGACGTCACGAGCCCCCGCTTTCAAATTGGTGCTGCTAGTGCTTCTTCTTCGTAATTTTCTTCTTTCTTCTTTGTAATTTTTTGGTTGATTAACAAATGAAAAAGTAAATGTACATTATTTTTTGAAAATTTAAGAATCTAACTGACGGACTAAGTAGAATTTCGTTTAATTTACCCCATCATCATTAAATAAAAATATAATGAAACTCATGCTCCTAGATAGCGAAGGGAGTTGTTATTATTCCTAGACAGATTTGAATGTTTCAAGTAAAATAAATATTATTGGTTTGGTTTGGAGTGGAGTGGTTTGTACGCCGGGTCCGAATCCCGGTGGGGGCAGATGTTTGTTTGATGAATCCGAGCATTTGTACTCAAGTCATGGATGTTTATATGTATTTCTATATAAATATGCTTATATATGTACAGTATATGTATTCTATCCGTTACCCTAGTATCCCATAACACAAGCCTTACAGTGCTTACTTTGGGGCTAGGCAATTAGTGTAAGATATATTATTATTATTATGATTTCCGTCATTTATAGCACAACGTGTCGTTAGAAGCACGAAGGAATACGATATTATAAATCCTTCCTCATATTATGAATTGAAAAAAAAATTGCTACTTATAATATTTCTTACCAATTAGTTTAATAGCTGTAAACAATATGAGGCATTTTCCAATCACGGCATTGACAACAGTTTATTACAATTATATTACTAAGGATATCATATAACTTCCCTATATAATTGAGTTCGTCTGTTGATGTAGGTACAAAGCAATTATAATATATTAATTGAATAATTAATTATAATTTATTTTCAGATGTGACACTGACGCATCCTGCTCCATGTGACTTCTAACGAAAAACAAAGACGTTACTAAACTAAGAATAACTTTAACTTTAATAATGATAAAATTTATTTGACAATGAGCCAATTTAATTGTTATTTTTACTTTTATTTATTTACTTTAGTTATGGTTTATTGTTCAGAAGGGATGTTATCTAAGCTGATATTAAATTAGTAATTTAAACGAAATAAGTAGGTACTTTCATGAATTTGAATAATGTTTATTTTGTTTTTAGTTTTCAAATTTGTTATACCAAGTTAAGGACTAAAAAACCTTTGGACACATTCGTGGAACTGCACTGAAAAGTTTTATTTATTTTTTAATATAATTTTAAAGTGATATTCTTGACTGACAGCGAAATTGCATGAAAGTGGATATTTAACGAATGTGTACAAAAGCAAAAAAAAACGGTATTTTATCTAACACTGTATACAAAAATCACAGCATGTAAAAATTCATAAAATGTAAGTTATCACACTGTGCTTGCACTTGAATAAAGGTAAATCTGTGTATTAAGTTTGCAAATTTTGGAGTTTTGAATATCTATACTCTTTCAACTTCCCCTGAGACAAAAGGTAAGCTAACCAGAAAAGCTTTTCAAGAGCTCGAATTGCAGACGCATTTAAAATAACAATAAAAAACTATAATTTTTATTATTTTAAAGCATGTAACTGCTTGATGTTTCTTGTTGTTTATGTTGTTATTGACTACCTCCGTGGCCGAGTGGTTTGTACGCCGGGTTACATGGTGGCGCCGACTCGAGAGGTCCCGGGTTCGAATCCCGGTGGGGGCAGATGTTTGTGTGATGAATACGAGCATTTGTACTCCAATCATGGATGTTAAATATGTATTCCTATATAAATATACTTATATATGTACAGTATATGTATTCTATCCGTTACCCTAGTATCCCATAACACAAGCCTTACAGTGCTTACTTTGGGGCTAGGGTAATTGGTGTGAGTGTTGAAAATATTTATTTATTTATTATTATTATTATTATACTAGCTTTTGCCCGCGACTTCGTCCGCGTTTTCGTCGATTTTCGTAAAAAAGTAGCATATGTCCTTCCTCAGGGTTCCGTGGTTTTGATGTGACAGACAGATTAACTTTCGTATTTTAGTAGGGAAATATAATATGTCAATCCACAATACTGTTAAAAATATCGCAATAAGGAACCGCAGAATATTATTATTATCACTGTACCCCGAGACCATCAGCGTGTAACTCCTTGTATGTTATTATCTTAATGTATTGGTAATATTGTTTAGATCGCTTTCACATGAGGCTTAAGTACATATAGAATGAAAATACTTCAGTGCAAAGCTTCCGGGTAAACTACGTTGAAAGTTGACCGGTCGGGCACGTGAACATAAAAATTTCTAGGACTGCTAACCCGGGAAAGAGCGACATAACTGACCATGTGAAAAACAACTGACACCGAGATCTACTTCAGCAACACGAAAAGTCTGCCCTTGAGCCTTATTTATTGTCATTGCATAACACACCGATACTGGGAATTGCGTTCTTTTAAATTGGAATGGAAAATTATTTGGTAAGGGAATTCTGGGAATAAAGATGGTTTCTCCTGCACCGCAACCTGTTAAAATTTGAGCCTCGATTACATTTTGTTGCAACTGGGTTACTTTAAGCCGAGTTCCATTGCAAATTTGTGGTGGTCTTAAATTTCGGAGCAGAATAATCGGAATGCCAATTTTTAAACAAATTTCATGAGAAGGAAGTCCGGGCATATTTAAAGAATTTAAAAATTCTATCGGGTAATTAGTGGTTTTGTGTTCATCGGCCATTCTATTTATTGAACTATAAACTTTGCTTTCCCCCTGGATATTCGACAGTATTTTATTATTAATCTCAGATGCCTGGTCATTGCGAGGAGTTAAAATGGACCTTTCGCATAGCCAAGAATTGTCCTTATTTAATATATTTGTTACGTCACCGTAAACTGACGATGTAAGATGTTGTTGGGATTGCACTATACAACATAACTCAGGCGTCAGAATAAGTTTTCTTTGGTGTAGCAGTGGATAGGTATCTTTGGTGAAGGTATTTTCTTTAATAATATATCAGAAAATTCACGATCATCCGGGTTATCTACAGTTCTCACTCGCATGTTTATAGTCAAATGCACCGATTGTATATCACGCCACAAATAAGAGCTTTTCAGGCAAGCCCTAACCTCATAAGCTCGGGTTCCCTGTGGTATTACCGGTAAGGTTTGTCGGAAATCACCACAAAATAAAACTGTGATATCGCGCATTGGTCGATCATTTTGTCTTATATCCCTTAAAGTTCTGTCTACCGCTTCTACTCCTTTTCGATAGGCCATCGTACATTCATTCATCCCATATGATTAAATTACACTTTGAACGAATATTTAAACACTACCAAAACAACTAATACCTATTTTACAAAATAATGACAAAAGAAATTCAAATAAACTATTTAAAGACTAAAAGTCGCGCTGATAAGCATGGTTTCTCAATATATCTCAATAATTGTCTGTCAATAAGGTCGAACGCTCTGAACGCATCAACAGCCAAATATTGAAGCTCGCTCGCTCGCTCTCTTTTATTTTATTTTTTTTTGTTTCCTCCCAGGCAGAGGGAGCAGGTGAGAAATCCTCATGGATACCCTACAGCCGGCTGCTAGGTTATGTCAGACTCGTACTGACTAAAAAACACCCGTAGGGGCTGCCTCTGGCCGGGAAGGCCTCTAAGGCTTCATCGGAAGCGATCGCCCCTAGGGGGGGGGAGCGACGCAGAAAACAGATTTAGACAGCTCGCTCTCGGACCTCCCGCCTTTTGATACCCTACCGCGCCGCCGCGACCCGTGTCGCACGCGGCAACCGTTACACAAAAATAATCCTTATGATTCAGTATTCACGTGCGACGGCGCGATGGCTTATTTCATGTATAAGTTTGGTGTTTCTATGTTTTGTTTTTATTGAATAGGTAATAATTTTAACTTTTTTAAATTAGGGATGAGTCAGAGTATTATAAAAGTAAGAGTAATCAAATATGATCAGAATGCTCCGAACTGCTAAGCTATCGGGAGTTACACGTGTTACTGTGAGTCAACCATAAAAGATAGACAGATGCTGTTGCGGGATATTTTTTAGACAATTTAGTGTAGAATATTTCCGTCATACATGATTTCTATGTAACTTTAATCATTAAGGCTGCACACGCGACGGAAGCTTAAAAAATGGAGTAACTTCTCCCGTTTTCCCAACATTTCCCTTCATTACTCTGCTCCTATTGATTGTAGCGTGATGAAAAGTATACTATAACCTGCCCAGGAGTATGAAGAATAATTGTACCAAGTTTCGTTAAAATCCGTCGAGTAGTTTTTGTTTCTATAAGGAACATACACACAGACAGACAGACAGACAAAAAATTTACTGAATGCATTTTTGGCATCAGTATCGATCAATAATCACCCCCTGATAGTTATTTTAAAAATATATTTCATGTACAGAATTGACATCTCTACAGATTTATTATAAGTATAGATAATGCGAAGAGATGGCGCTGCCTTGCAGCTTAAGAATGGCTAGAATAATTTCGACGCAGTCCGTGTTGGCCGTGGTAGCATAATTGGTCAGTGCATTCGCCCGGATTGCGAAGGGTGCGGGTTCGAGTCCCGTCTGCTGCCTGGTCCGCGTGGATTTTTTTTTTATTTATATTTTCTTTAGATTAAAAAACTAGCAGTTCCCAAACTTTGATGGCATTGTAATACTACTAAATTAAACCGTAGTGATAAAGCGAATAATTTACGTTGAAATGTGAATTTTGTAATCTGGTTACACCGGCCATCATTATTCTCGATAAAAAGTTTAGAAACATTGGTTTTTTTGTTTTACCTTTGGTTCAGAGGATTTTGAATGGATTATAATTAGATAAAGTTTTATTTTGGTGACAAAAATTTGCTTATTTCCTTCCATGGTGTACATGCTTGGGCACACGCACTAATGTTTACTCATTAAATATGTTTACAAAATTGTATAATATTTATTTAACGGTTGCCGTTTTCCTTATTTATTGAAACGGAATAGCCAGTTCTCAAAGTTCACTTCTTATTAAAGAGAGAAAAGTTTAATTTATTCCACCTGATAATGGCCTAGGGAGGAGTATCGGTTCATATCGACACTACTATTGAAGTCGAAAGATTTTTTTTTTATTCAGACTGCCAGAAAAGCGTGTTATGTTTTAGCGTTTTTGTATCTCTGTTTGAGTGTGCGTTTGTTTATTTCATGAACTGGTAAATTTAGCCTGAGACCTAAGTCAAGTTGATGTTTTAATTGGGTTAACCCTGGTGGTAACAAGTCCAAGTTTTAGTGAAAAAAAATAATCAAAAAATTATATATATATAAATATCAAATCAAGGGTATAAATGAGCACATTCCAAATAATTTATGTTTGAATATATTATACAGTTTTGGTGTACACGCAAAATAAACATATCAAATGGATTGTTATAGATGCATGTTTTTTATTTCTCTCTTTTCAGATGTTCTATTTGTTTTTCATAAATATTTTCATATTTCACAAAAACCTGATTCAGATAGAAAATAATAATTACAAAAATTTGATTCTTGCTTTTTAGTGGGTCGGTTAGCAATTTATCTAAGATATAGTGTAATGTAAACGCTAATCATCTTTAACGAAATGTATTTCCTGACCAAAGGACACCATTTTCTAAGGAATTCTTCTGGTACACCACCACCATTCAATCCACTTTACCAAATGGCGAGCTACTATGAAAAATATCTAAATTACTATTTTGGTATCTATATTTTTATGAGTTCTTTCGATTGCTTCAGTATTCCTTTTTATAAATCCTGTCTTGATAATCATGAAACTAAATATCCGGGAATTATAACCCTTTCAAATTAAAAAAAAATACAGAATTAGTCCAGGCGTCTTATTGAGTAATCCTGAAAAATACCTACATAATACAGATTCCCAATAGAAGAGAACCCTCTCCTTTGCCTTTTCTAATAATAATTTGTTTAATCGACACTAACATAGGGCAAAACTTGAAAATTTTAAGAATATGTGCATATTGATTGATGAGCAACGTGGAACAGAAAAAAGCCAAAAAAAACCAATGAGAACGGGAATAACATTATCACATCACTAACAGTTGACAAGATGAGTCAAAAGCAACCGGCTGATGCGGAGAACTTTATATTTACAAACGTGTCGCTCCGCTGGGCAGTTGGTGACGCGAGCTGTTGGTCGACACATACGTTTATAAAACTGGTCTCAAATAATTGAAATTACTGCAGAATGGAGAAGCTGTTATACGCTTTGTTTATACTGGGTAAGAATGCTTCGTTAATTATTTGAAATTTGCGAAGATTTTTAGACTAATATCATTGTCTATTGCTTATTATTGTTTTTAGGAAGATGATAAGTTTGTATTTCCATGATAAGACCCCGAAATATTAATTGATTTAGTTTAATTTGAATGTTTAACATAACTATAGGATTGTGTCTACCGGATTTTGTTCGCAATTAGTAAAGGATCATTAAATTGATATCCACTGTAATAAGTTTTTGGCAATGACTTCTCATAATGACGTGCAAAAATTGCCCGCTTAAGTACCTCCTTTTTGTTTATTTATTTTTTACCACGACTTTTTGCTTCGTCTGCTCTAACACCTGCTATTTGTTCTGTGCTAACACTTATCAAATTAACATAGTAGCAAAATTTATTTTTTAAAGTTATCTGTCTGGATGGTATGCATTATTCATGAACACAAGATATTCCGGTTTCTAGCAGGATTTCGTGTTGTGTATACCTACATTTATTTTACCTTGATTAACCTTTTTTAAACATATTTTATAAACAAGGAAACTGTAACGTCTTTTTTAATAATGTTTTTGATGCACCTATCCTAAGAATTTTCTACAGAATTCTTTATTTCAAATGTATTAGCTCATATTTGGGATTTACAGCTTTATCTGGTAGGGTCAATAGTAGGTGCAGGTTATTATCAAGTATTGGGTAGTTACCTACTTAATATTTACCTACATATACTTTAATCTACTTTAAAGTTAATATTATAAAGTAAACAAACGATTAGGACAATAGGCTATTTGAAAGTATGAAAAATAATGTTATAATTGTTGGCAACTGTATTTATTATGAATATTAGCAGTGATTTTACTATTCTGTGAGAACAAATGATTAATAACTTTTCTATAAAATCATTTTTTTCCTCCATGGTCACATGAGCGGAAACTCCTGGGATTGGCCAAGACTAAAATGACGTCATACGCTAGTAAACTCCCGGCCAAAGTGACATTATATTGTATCGTTTGCCATTTTTATGAAAGACGTGTGACGTCACACTCTATTGAGACGCCACGATGACCAGAAAAACGTTTTCGCGGCAACTTGAAAATATAATTTTTAATTAAGTTTTTTTAATACATTACACAACAGAATTAAAAATTACCACTCTTTATGGACTCCATAAACATCAGTAAATGACGTTTGATCGTTTTCTTAACCTTGTCAAATACCCACTACAAAGACATTTAACCAAATAGGTATATTGTGTTGTATATTTAACGCATCATGTTACATTATAAATATTTTCCTTAATTGTAGCAACGATTAAGAAAATGTTAAATAATGACTATGACATAAGATTTATCTACGACAATAAATACCTAAGCTAAATATTCACAAGGAAAATTTTGGGAACTGCAAGTTCTGCATCAATATTGTTAACCTGGGGGACAGAAACTTTCTTGCGTGTGTTGCAGCACTGTACACGAATAAATACGGGAGTGGTCCTACCTGGGACCGTTCCCTGGTAACACCAGTATCGAGTAGGACCGTTGCTTACATCTAATAGTCCAGTCAGTATTGTCGCGAAATCCGTTTTTCCTCAAACAGCTGGAACTATGCTAAAAAGTTTCTTAAGATAGTAAAGAACACTTTACATAGAGAAAAAAATGTTTCCAACCCCGGGCAAGGGTGAAAACCACCCTTAATAATCTATTTTTCCAATTATCTCAAAAAGTATACGAGATACGGAAAAAAACTTCAAATGAAAATTGTAGATCTTTTTGAAATCTACAAAACATTATTCCACCCTCTTGCCCCTATTTTCAATAGGGGAGCCAATAATCGAAGTCAAAGATTCAATACTTAAAAAGTTAAAGTTAGTTAAAAAAGTTATCTTTGACTTCGATTATTGGCTCCCCTATTGAAAATAGGGGCAAGAGGGTGGAATAATGTTTTGTAGATTTCAAAAAGATCTACAATTTTCATTTGAAGTTTTTTTCCGTATCTCGTATACTTTTTGAGATAATTGGAAAAATAGATTATTAAGGGTGGTTTTCACCCTTGCCCGGGGTTGGAAACATTTTTTTCTCTATGTAAAGTGTTCTTTACTATCTTAAGAAACTTTTTAGCATAGTTCCAGCTGTTTGAGGAAAAACGGATTTCGCGACAATACTGACTGGACTATAATAACCAATTGATTAATTGTTTCCTCTTATTTACATATTTGATATATTATACTATATAAATATTATACCCTTTTTTTGTTTTTTTTTAAATATGTTATTATGTATAAAATATCAGTTTTCTTCATATTTTAGATATTTACATTACTTACCTACTTTTTTACAAATCTTTTCTTTTTCTCTAAACAAAATTAAATATGTTTTAAAATTACACAACACACACTTAGTAAAAAGTCACTTAGTAACGTGATGAATTATTTTAGGTGTTTGATAATCCTATATTTCTTAAGAATATTTTAATTGGTTATCTCAATAACCTATTATGATTTTTTTTCTTTTTCAGCTCTAGTAGCTGAAAGTGCTGTAGGAATGGCATACAGATATAAAAGACAGAGCGAAAACGACGAGGATAATCTAGAAGACCGATACGGCTTCCCTGACCAGAACAACTTCCAGAGACCATTCCAGCCGATGCCCAGGCCACCGGGTCGATTCCCTGGACAAAATCAATTTCCTGGACAGAATCAATTTCCTGGGCAAAACCAGTTCCCAGGACAAAATCAGTTTCCTGGGCAAAATCAGTTTCCTGGGCAAAACCAGTTTCCCGGACAGAACCAGTTTCCTGGGCAAAACCAGTTTCCGGGACAAAATCAATTTCCAGGACAGAATCAGTTTCCGGGACAGAATCAGCCCGGACAAAACCAGCCTGGGCAAAATCAACCCGGTCAGAATCAACAACCAGGGTAATTTTATTTTTTTAGTAAGTTCTTAGTTAAAATAGACGCATTCCTTTTAATATCAGCAAGGGATACTTGTTGTTGTTTATATAAAGTGTAAACATTAGGCGAAAGAGAAGTAAAACTTAACGCGCTACGGAATAGCTATATATGTACGTACCTGTTAGTCTTTCACGCACCCAGTAAAAGACTGTCAACGAAAAAAATCGTAAATTGCAGTACACAATTAACTGGCAACTTGCGACACCGATCGGAGACCTCGATCAGGGTAGTGCGACATTTGTTTTTACGTAGTTTTTTCAGCTTAAAAAAAAATCTAGGCGCCCCTTGACGCATACAGTGACCGCACTTATTTATAAACTGAAAACGAACTAAAAAGTATAAAACAATAAAAAAAATCATTACTGTCGGGGAACCGTTTCGGAGAATACTTTTTAAACTCAGGGGCTTCCCTCGTGGCAGCGATGGCTTAGTCAACGGTAGATCAAGTTTTATTGAACCGTCCCGTCCGGTAACAAAAAGTACATATGTAATGAACCATTGGAACTCGTCATTCTCAAGTACTTAGCCGGTTCTATGGAACTTCACGCGGCCTTTTTTAGAATTTCAGCTTATTAAACTTTTTTTTTATTTTTTTATAGCCAGGTACCAGGCAGGTATAGTACAGTCAATCTGTCGAAAAAAATATCGTTTCAGTGAAAAAAAAACCTAAAGGGTAAGTCTTGTTTTTTCTGTTGCCAAATGACGTCAGTAAGCCACCTTGGCGATGGGCATGTTCAACTCGTAGGCGTTTTTTGAAAAACTCAAAAAAACCTTCAAAAAAATTTTGAAACGCATTTTTCTTGTTTTGTATGCATTTTAGAAACTTTTTTTTCGACTATAATTGTAGAGGGCGTTGAGTGCTACAATTTATGTCATTGTTGTAATCTCGTACAACAAAAAATGTGCATTGTAGGTGGCGTTAAAGTCTCAAAAAAAGTGTTTTTTCACTTTTTCACCCTGAAAATATCATTTTAATGGAAAACTTTAAATGGCAAAGTTGTTTCGTACATAATTACCAACAACTTTTGTATAAACAATTTTTTTGTGTTACTTACCGTTTTCAAGTTATAAATTGCGCAGGTATGAAAAATCCAATAGAGCGGTTTTGGGCAGTTCAAGTACACATTTGCAGTGCACATTTCAATGTACGTTTTACTTTTTTTTATTTTTTTTCATGATTGAAAAACAAAAAAAAATAAAAAAAAATAAAAAAAATAGTTTTTTTTTTCATGATTGAAAAAAAATAGATAAAACGTACATTAAAATGTGTACTGCAAATGTGTACTTGTACTGCCCAAAACCGCTCTATTGGATTTTTCATACCTGCGCAATTTATAACTTGAAAACGGTAAGTAACACAAAAAAATTGTTTATACAAAAGTTGTTGGTAATTATGTACGAAACAACTTTGCCATTTAAAGTTTTCCATTAAAATGATATTTTCAGGGTGAAAAAGTGAAAAAACACTTTTTTTGAGACTTTAGCGCCACCTACAATGCGCATTTTTTGTTGTACGAGATTGCAACAATGACATAAATTGTAGTACTCAACGCCCTCTACAATTATGGTCGAAAAAAAAGTTTCTAAAATGCATACAAAACAAGAAAAATGCGTTTCAAAAAAATTTTGATGGTTTTTTTGAGTTTTTCAAAAAACGCCTACGAGTTGAACATGCCCATCGCCAAGGTGGCTTACTGACGTCATTTGGCAACAGAAAAAACAAGACTTAACCTTTAGGTTTTTTTTTTCACCACTCAACCTACAGATTGACTGTACTAGTAGTAGGAAATGACTACCCCAGCTGATGTTAAGTGGTGATAAAGACCAAAAGCGAAGATAGCTGGTCCAACAGTTATAAACTGTCACACCAACCATCCTCACCTTGCTGGCCTGCAAAAATGCTTCTTCACGCCTTCCTTAAAGGACCCTAGATTGTAGGAAGGAGGGATGGAGTGTGCGGGCAAAAATTCCACTTACGAATAGTACGACAAAGAAATAAGTCACCAAATTTCTTTATTATATAATTTTGGGGACACCTGCACCAACATTCTTAATTCAAATTAAGACTTAATCCTGTTTAAGACATACGGTATCCTTAGCACGAACCAATATCGAATTCGAAACGAAATCGAGTCCGAAATGTCATTGTGAAATGTGTATTGATTTTTAGTTCTGTTTACGTATTTTGTGCCGTTGCTGTGCAAGTTTCCATACAAACTTTGACATTGACATTTGGGTTTGCAAACTATTCGAATTTGATAATGGTTCGCGTTAGGGGTACGGATCATCTCGGTTCATCCTTGTCAATTGTTTACAGTCGAAGAGACACAGGATGAGGCTTGAAACATGATTAGCTTTAATTTGAGAACTTTGATGCAAATGGCCATATTCACTCTTAACTTCCTCATAATTAAATGATGGGCTAAGGGGAAAAAGAGGCTAAGTGACATTAATAAAAATTTACAGTACAAGCAATTAAAGTTACGACAGCATTTTATGACTGACTCAGAAAATCTGTTCATATACAAGTAGTTGATTTTGAAAAGTATATTTAATAGCATACTGCAAGTACATGTCATAATTTTCTGAATAAAAAAAATGCACAATAACAATAAACAACTGACATTTCATTAAAACCACCCTAACAGTCTAGGAAAGAAGTTGGTAAAAAAAAGTAAGATAACGAGTTTTACCCTTTTTTGTGATAGCCATAACATGAAATGAATATTTTTGTGCCCGTTGATTCCAAAAAATCTATTTAAGAAAAAATGGACTAAGCCTTCTTTTTCCCACTAAATGTGCCCTTCAAATGTGTTTATAATTTTCAGAAATAACGCGCAGTCCGCCACTCTCCAGCAGTGTGTGACCAGCTGCCCGGTGACTGCGGAGTACAATCCAGTGTGCGGCACCAACAATGTTCTCTATGAAAATCCTAGCAGACTGGCCTGCGCTCAGGCTTGTGGCGTCAGTGAGTATCTAATATTAATAACAAATACCTTGTATAGCGTTTTCCACTTTTAAATAGTGTCTGGATGCTATTCTTTCAATATGTATGTATGGATACGTTTCACAGGTCAAGTTATTGAAAGCTTTATTGTGCATATGATTAGATTCATAATCAAACCGGAAAATTTCTCATTTTGTGGAAACTTTATGTGACTCTGACTTTATTATACATTCATAAAATATGAAAGTAGTAAAAAAGTTCACGGAATTAAAAAAGAAGGGCTCGTCCGGGATTTGAACCCGGGACCTCTCGCACCCAAAGCGAAAATCATACCCCTAGACCAACGAGCCGCATATAATCTGATGTATATGTTATGATAACAAATTAAGTGAATAATTCTTTAGGTACACAAAGAACGACTGAACTAATAAAACTGAAATGTTGTCTTCCTAAGGTGCACCAATTACGACATAGCCTGATTGTAGCTTAGATCACAAAATATTAGCACAAGCCCGATGAATAGGCCCGACGAAAAGATAATCGTAAATGCAGACAATAGCAGGTCATTCTTTTATAACAAATAAAATTTGTATTTACAAATGAAAATATGAATATACAAAATGAAAAATTGTTTATTGATGAATCAATTTTCAGTTTTAACCCAGCTCTGGCACAACAAAGCTACACTGTCTGTTAAATAAAGAATTTTCTTTATTTTTTTCAGATGTGAGCCTTCTCAGGTCAGGTCCGTGCCCCGCTACCACAACTACTGCGTCCCCAGCCAGTGGTTAAGGAATCATTAAAAGTTTCCATTATCTACAGTCCTTTACCAAAATGAAACCTCAAACTAGAACTGATCCCCTAGAAAGTATATGAAACACCAAGCTAAACTGAAATAATTTAAGAATTTTTAAGTGCAGGCATGGTATGATAACCCCATGATAACGAACCCGTGGTACAGACTTTTGTGAAAAGCAGTTTAAAACAGTGTCGAACGTTTTTGTAGTAAGACCGAAAATTTTTAATCAATGATTCACGCGGGTTCATATATACTTATATTTTAATCAATTAAGTACCTAGCCCCGTATTAAGATAATGTTCTACTGGATTTAACATGAACCCAAGGTGATTTTATATACTAAATACTGTGATGATGATCTTATACAGTACAACATACATATACAAAACAACATACTTAAGATAATTAAATAAATAAAATAAAAAATGTGACCAATTTTATTGCCATCATTTAGTTGTTAGTTTTGGTGTTCAATACTATGACATACTTTACGCTTATTTCGACATTAATGCTCTATTTTATATATAAAAGGATGATTGAAATTTGAACGAATTGATGATGAAATAAATATGAAAAATTATACTGTGAATTTGTATCTTTATTCCTTAAATCAGCATTCTTAATTTTTCGCAAAAAAATATAAGAAGCCTATGGACCCTTTAAAGCAAGCTAAAGTGACTAAAAAATGTAGGTACGCTCTACCCTCAGGATACAGAAATACATAAATGTTATACATGTTTCTTTCTGTATTCTGAGGCTCTACCCATCTTCACTTTGTAGGCCTGAACCCAGTCTCCTACCTCATGATGACCAGAAACCCTAGCGTGAGTTGCACCACTAAGCTTGTTTAAGAAAATTTTATACAATACTTTAACTGGCCTCGCTTGGACAGTTTTTGTTAATGTCAATTTATGATCTCATTTTGACTGTCGTCAAATGGTGCAACCCATTTTTCATCCGGTAACCTGACTGGACAGTTAAAGTAATTTGGTGCAACTCGCGCCTAATCTTCAATAAAAACAGTACCCCTAAAAGTGGTTATTTTACTGTAGCTATAAGGTACTTGCTAGGTGGAAGTAACTTTTCCAGACTGTTGCCTTTCCTGTTTAGTTTACTTCTCCTAGGCAACTATGACCTTATGGTTCAAACTTAATGACTGTGTATGTGTGAAGTTAGCAGCGAGCGCAACTACGATACGAAATAACTTGCTCTAACTTCGCAGCTCCTATTAAGTTTGGATCATACTTTACCTATCTATCTTTTGTTAAGTACATAGTGGTGTTGATTCTGGCATGATTCTTTAACAACAGTCAGTCTCTCTTTTGCATTCTGAACAGGGAATGACAAGGATATACTATTAGCAAACCATTTAGATTTACAGAATCATGCCAGAATCGTCATCAATGTTAATTAAGAACATAGTTCAGGCGATGTTTTTTCATTATTAGTTAAATTTCTTAAGTATTGTAACTATAGTCCAGTCGTTTCTCTAGTATTTTAAATATAGTTAAATTTATGTGCTGTATCTATCGATATCGCAAAAAAGGACAGCGTAAACCGTAGGAGGATTAAAAACTATCAGAATATTATTGCGAAGAATAAATAATCTAATATACAAAGGATTTTTTTTGCCGACTATGTTTATGATAGGGCAGGCTAATCCTTCTAATCAGAGACAGTTAATTTGTTGTTTCATTTAATTTTGTCACTCTCGCTAATCATTTTTGTCAACAATACCACCAACTCCATAATAAATTAGGTAGGTAACAAAGACCTCTTAAATAAATAAAAATGAATAGCCGAAATGTATGCAAGTACCTACGCTACGCCCATAACTTTCGAAAGACACCAAATAAGACAATGCTTTGTTTTTGTTTGTAGGAAATATTAGTAAATACCCTAGGGATCCCTAGGAAATTCGGAAAACAGGATGGTGCTTTTGAATAAAAACCTCACCACTTCAAAATTTTTCATAAGGTATATTGCATTGATGCCGAAGCAACCACAAGAAAATATAAAAACAAAACATTACTACGGAAACTATACATTTTGACTACTATCGTACGATCTCCATCAAGCCGTCGAGACTTAATTTTCAACAATTTCATTACGTGCCCCCAGTCATGTTGTGATGTGATGAAATCACGGTCACGATCTTGACCTTAGTAAGTCCTGTGACTTACATACTTATTTTCCTACTTCCATATTTAATTAATCGTTAAACGTTCGTTTAAACTTATCAATCGCTGTAGCCACTGTTAGAATTGAGAATATTTCAATGTGAAACATTGATTTCTTAAATAAATAAATACATGAACTGCTATTCTGGAGTCCGATCAAGAATTCAAGACACAGTTTTTAAAAGTGAAGGACGACAAAATATCAATTTTATAAGGGCTATAAAAATTCGTAACCCTAATTAACAGTAGCATATGGGTATTGAAGTTGTAACATGATAACATGGCTACTATATCAGAAAAACTTTTACGTTAAATTACTTTTGTCATACATTTGTAAATGATTTTTTTTTGCAGAACTTGATTTCCTACAGTCTCGTTAATTAAGATTTCTCTACACGTTGCAATTTCGCCAAACAAGAATGTCATATAGTTACTCATTTATCTTATCAAATATAATAATATAGTCCAGGCAACGAAAAGGTATAGAGGGAATTGCTTAGAACACAATTTTTGACTTCGTGACTTTGTTAGGACTAGTTAGGAGGTAAACATATCAAAAGTCCCCGCCCGTAGCCCTTAAGCCGGGGGGAGGGGGGGGGGGGGGCTTGAAGGTCCCATTTTTAGGTTTTTCGCATATATCTCGAAAACTATGCATCCTAGCGACATGAGATTTTCACAAAAGTGAAAGCTGATTAAATTTGCTACAAGTCTTATTCAGTCAAGTTTTTTGATATCTTGTATAGTTTTCGAGATATCCGCTCTTGAAAGGCTGTAATTATGGAAAAAAAATTTGTTCCCATTTTTGCTCTATTTGACCGGATAACTCTTCAACAATGCACCCAAAAAATAAATGCCAGCCGTAGGGTTGTAGAGCATTAAATTATCTTCAATAATAGAAACAATTGCCTTTTTTTTTTATTTAAGGACAAAATTGTTAGTGTAGTAGACGTATGGGGGCGGTACGGTGGGCACTAGGCCGCGTACTCAGCCCCCACGCGCGGGCCGTCCTGCGCACGTCTGTGGGGTCCTCGCGATACCCCGGGAGACCCCTGCCGCGGAACCTCGGCAAGGCCGGGAGGCTGCTAGGTGCGGAGACGCGGAAGAATCCCTAAACGGGGATTCCGCGGCTTCGCACTAAGCAGCTTAGAGGGTGTTCGCAGGGTTTTTTAGCGGATATTATGCCGTATAGCGCCCGTAAGGGTTACGGGGTCCTCAGTGGGCAGCCACTGCTGGGGCTCGTAAGGCTTGCGGGAGCCAGGTGTGAGGTCCATAAGTAAAAAAGAAAGTAAATTAGTGTCATTGAGAAACTGTAACTATCTAATAATAATATCTGTAATAATGATATCCGCTCTTGAAAATCTGTAATTATAGAAAAAAAAAATGCTTTACATTTATGCTCTATTTGACCGGATAACTCTCGGATAACTCTTTAACGATGCACCGATGTCTAAATAGCACACATGCTCATTTTAGAATATGTACTTGTTGGCCCACTGACCAGGTTCTTCACACAATCCAGAAAATAAGTTTAAAAAACTGCAAGAGTTAACTACTTTATGCAAAAAAGGTTATTATAAATTAGATGATTATTTAAATGATAAGATTTTCTGGTGTTGTATTGGTCCAGCTCAACACAAAAAGTAGTATTAAGAATGATTAAAATTATAAAACTGGACTTTAAAAAAAATTGAGACGGTAGGGCCCTGTGCCTCTGGTTTTTTTCCGGTTCTCATTGGCTATACAGGTACGAATACGGCAGCAGTTTTCGATACAATTCACTATGACGTGCAAAAAGAGATTTGTAAAAAAATTCAATATAGTTGATTTCTTGCTCTTTTGGGGTGGGAAGGACCTTGATCCTCGTCTTCGTTTACATTTTCTTTGTCTGTGTCATTTTTTCCATCGGAACCCTGTAGGGAAACGGTCAGAGGATCCTCCTGTTCTTTTTATACGCAGGCAAAAAATACTATTTACAGACGACGGCGCCTTTAAGAGGCACACCGCCGAACGGACCTCACACCTGGCTCCCGCAAGCCTTACGAGCCCCAGCAGTGGCTGCCCACTGAGGACCCCGTAACCATTACGGGCGCTTTACGGCATAATATCCGCTAAAAGACCCTGCGAACACCCTCTAAGCTGCTTAGTGCGAAGCCGCGGAATCCCCGTTTAGGGATTCTTCCGCGTCTCCGCACCTAGCAGCCTCCCGGCCTTGCCGAGGTTCCGCGGCAGGGGTCTCCCGGGGTATCGCGAGGACCCCACAGACGTGCGCAGGACGGCCCGCGCGTGGGGGCTGAGTACGCGGCCTAGTGCCAACCGTACCGCCCCCATACGTCTACTACACTAACAATTTTGTCCTTAAATAAAAAAAAAAGGCAATTGTTTCTATTATTGAAGATAATTTAATGCTCTACAACCCTACGGCCGGCATTTATTTTTTGGGTGCATTGTTGAAGAGTTATCCGGTCAAATAGAGCAAAAATGGGAACAAATTTTTTTTCCATAATTACAGACTTTCAAGAGCGGATATCTCGAAAACTATACAAGATATCAAAAAACTTGATTGAATAAGACTTGTAGCAAATTTAATCAGCTTTCAGTTTTGTGAAAATCTCATGTCGCTAGGATGCATAGTTTTCGAGATATATGCGAAAAACCTAAAAATGGGACCTTCAAGCCCCCCCCTCCCCCCGGCTTAAGGGATACGGGCGGGGACTTTTGATATGTTTACCTCCTAACTAGTCCTAACAAAGTCACGAAGTCAAAAATTGTGTTCTAAGCAATTCCCTCTATACCTGTTTTTGAGCATTCGTTGCCTGGACTAATACTAGCAAACCAGTGAACCAAATGTTCACCAAAACCTGATTTAAAAAAAAATGTATTTATTAATTGAGAACTTCGGAGATTTTGTGTGGTTTCGTTTGAAATTCGTGATTTCTCGAAAACCGGAAGTGCTACGTTACTCAAATCCGGTTTGTAGTCTTATCAGACTATTCTTAACTTATAACTGAAATATTCTCTTTATCTATCTCTTACGGTTTGGCCGCTGAAACAGCACCACAGACAGACGGACGGACTTGTCTAATAGATAAGAGATACTATAAGCATAGTTTATTCATTAGACATTTATTAAACAAATTGTTCGAAAAGAAACTGGAACTGGAAACACCTCATTAATGGGGTGTATTAGTAATTAACTAGCAAAACAGTGAACCAAATGTTCACCAAAACCTGATTTAAAAAATGTATTTAATTAATTGAGAACTTCGGAGATTTTGTGTGGTTTCGTTTAAAATTATATTTAACCTTTAAATAGTTAATTAAAATTGCGATAATTACAAAATAGAAAACACGTGATTTCTCTAAAACCGGAAGTGCTACGTTACTCAAATCCGGTTTATAGTCTTATCAGACTATTCTTAACTTATAACTTAAATATTCTCTTTATCTATCTCTTACGGTTTGGCCGCTGAAACAGCACCACAGACAGACGGACGGACGGACTTGTCTAATAGATAAGAGCTACCGCTTATGTGCTGTTCATTGAATAATTCAAATTACTTTATCTTAGGTAGGTTATTTGATCGATATTGTTAACAATTGATCATGTAACACAGAAAATTGAGAAGTTTTAAAGCATGGGAGTAGATAAAATTTATTATGACATAACTAAGTACACCATGATACAATATCTGAATCTATTTATAATTCGCTGAAAATTACACCTTTAAGCTTTAACAATAACTAACTACTCATCCATACTAACTGTTGAAGTATTTCCCGTAACGTTAAACATAAATGAAAACGGTTGCCAACTTAAAAGCGTAAACTCGGTAGAAAATCGGGATAATTGCCATGTTATAGCCTGTCCAGATGAAGCGATTTACGTGCACCATTCACACGCGTTTTAACGTTCGTTATCCGTGTTCTGAATGGACTATTCTTACTCAGCCTTATGATGGAGCAATGAAGTAAGAAACGCATGTTAATCGCGTCATCTGGACGGGTACTTATGTTTCGTTATCGTTTTCTAGGTATAAGCCTCTAATAAAACACACAAGAGTTATACTGTCAAAGCACAAAACATGAATAAAAGTCAAATAAAAAAAATACAAAATTCGCCTTCACAAATATGTGCCGAAGCACTACTACTTGTTCACCGTGGAAACTTCCTTGTTGTAGTAATAATACAGGGAATACCCTCGTCTTGAGTAGGTCATTGACTTCAATTACACATTTTTACAGATCTCAGCAGGAGATGTTAAACCTTCATTGGTTTTATTTATTTATTTATTAATACTTAATGCACAAGTGTACAAAGGCGGATTTAATGCCATAGGCATTCTCTACTAGTCAACCATAGGGTGTTGTGGATAAATAGTGGTAGGGTGCACAAATTTGATGGAAAAAAAGACGAACAGATATAAATACGAAGTAGTCGTATACATAATTACACATACATAAATAAGTACTTACATATAAATAAACATACATATATATT